CCCTGCATTGGCAGGGGACACGGGTTCAAGCCCTGGTCTGGGAAGATCCCACATGCCGCGGAGCAACTAAGCCCGTGCGCCACAGCTACTGAGCCTGTGCGACTGGAGCCTGTGCTCCGCAGCAAGAGAGGCCGCAATAGTGAGAGGCCCGCGCACCGTGATGAAGAGTGGCCCCCGCTCGCCGCAACTAGAGAAAGCCCTCGCACAGAAATGAAGACCCAACACAGCCAAAAATAAATTAATTAATTAATTTATAAAAAAAAAAAAAAAAAAGAGCCAGCGGCAGAGGCTCCCCCTGGCAAGAGGTGGGTAAAGGGGCTTCCACCTCATGAAACACAGGATAATGTACAAACAAACGTGCTCATCGCTGCAAGGTGCTGGGAACCAATTTTGAAAAGAGGCGAATATAGGCCTTCACCTGCCTTCCTTTACAAATCAAACCGTCGGAAGACCAAGTAGCGTTTGTGGGGAAGTTTCTCTACAGAAGCTGAGACGGCGGAGCCTTGGGGCTGGTGGCCTGGGGCTGACTGTCAAGACTGGGCCCTGGGCCCCCGTGGCTGCCACCACCCAGAGGGGCCAGCTGACAGCCACACCTCCCAGAGGAAGGACGCAACAGTCCTGCAAAGACAAAGGGCCAGACCTGGGTCCAGTTATCTTTTAAAATGTTCTCTGCAGGGCGTCCCAGACAGACCTGGTTCAGCAGCCTGATTCCGTCCAGATCCCGTGGGCCTGACTCGCTCTGAACACTGCTGCTGGTCTGCTGACCCTGAGCTGGGCGTGCAGCGCTCAGCTCACAGCAAACGACCCGTTTCAACAACAGATAAGTTCCAAGGAGAAGGGGGAGTTAGGGAGAACCTATAGATTAAAAAGACAAAACAACAGAAAGACACCAGCCAATCACAGTGTGTGCTGGATCCTGATTTAAGGAAACAAACTGGCCAAAAAGTCAGGAAACGGACAAGACAGCTGGAAACTCACACACAGATGGTGGTTTCATGATAAGGAACCATTGATTTCTTATGGGTGACGATTTCTTTAGAGATACGTTACAGACTATCTATAAAGAGGCTACAACTAGGATTTGCTTCAGAAACTGCAGGAAAAAGATGTGAACGGGGTCTGGAGGTGGTTATGGTGCCACACGGAGCTCCGTTATGCTACTCTCCCTACTTCTACGTGCTTGAAATTCTCTACAATAAAAAGCGAAAAAGGAAAAACACAGCACCTTCGAGACGGACACCACACTTCACTCCTAGTTCACAGTTAAACAGCAGGTGCATATTAGTGTCTCCAGCCAATTCCTCCCTGAAACACGTGGTCTCGGTGGATGCCATTTCACCTGGGACAACCCGAGGAGGGGGACCACACCCCTGGCCCTGCCCCCACTACACACAAGGGCATGGAAAAGCTGCCAGTGGAATGAGAGGTTTGAAAACGTTTGATCCTAATTTTGAAAATGATCCCAATTTTGTGATAGGAGACTAACAAAGAAAAAAGAAAAAAATGGAAAACTATACCAAAATGTTCAAAGTAGTCACCTCTGGGTGGTGGGACGGAAGGCTTTTTACTCTTACTGTATATCCTGTCTTCCCTAAAATGTCTACAATGAGCACATGCTGCTCTTCAGATAACAAATTAGATATTTAATTTTCTAAGTAACCTGATTTTTCTCCTCACCACCATCTATGTTTCTTTAACCTTAACTTTCAAGTTGAATTAGTGACCTTCAAAACTGCAAACCTCTATAAAAGATAGCTGGAAAATATTTAAGCTTTTTTTTAGGCTGCCTGACCATCCTATGAGAATCATGAAACAAAGCTCCCCAGACTCTCCTGGAGAGTTACTGTAATGTGCATGGTCAGTTCCCCAAGAAGTCTGTGTCCCGAGGCCTCGGCTGACACGTCGGGAAGCGGAGGCCAGCCACCTGCCACGGAGGGTGGGGGGAGAGACGGGGGCCGCGGCAGAGCGGCCCACGGGCTCTCAGAGCTTCCAGGCCCGAACCGCTTGGCTTTTTCACAGCCCACCCGCCTACTTCTGGCAAATGAAAGGAAATAAACCCACACATTCATTAAAAGCTTCCCATAGTGGGGTGGTGAGACCTGTGTGTCTCATAAACAGTAGACATGGAAACATGTAAACCGATCTGGATTCAAGTGTTGAACGCTCAGACTCTCAGCCAGTGTGGGCGGAGCTTAGGAGACAACTCTCCCTGAGGCCACAGGGGACCCAGTGGGGGAGGGCCGGGGTCAGGAGGGGGCCCAGAGGTCAGGAGGCACAGTCCTCCCTCCACCAGGGCTGGCGTGCACCGGCAGACCGGCCATCACCGTGAGCTGCTATCAAATGTCCAACGTTAAACTCTAAGTTTGCCGCGTGACCCAGAGGCCTCAACACCTGCTGTATCTGGCACCCTCCGCCTTCACGACCCACGCACAGTTTCAAACAAGGTCACAAGACTGGTCTCCTGCTGCAGAGCCTGAGGGGCAGGACCACTACGCCACCAGGGCACCGGGTGTCCTCTCCAGGCCTTCCGCCCGCCCTGGGTGAAGATGCACACCACTGACCACCCCACGCGGCCCACTCTGCACTCGGCTGTGAGATCCTGCACCCATTAAAGGGGAGGCTCGAAAGGGCACAGACCACAGAGGGCAGGGGCAGAAGCTGCTTGGGCAGAAAGCCCTCGACTCAGAGAAAGTTAAGAGCCAGCTCCTCAACTCATGAGGGGTCCAGGATCCAGAAGCCCTGCTTTCTAGGCAAGAGCAGCGGTACAAGCGGCACCACGTCTGGTGGATCTCCTGAGTCACAGCTGGGAGGATGGCGTTAACGGGAGAGAAAAAGCAAAAGCACACCGGAAACAGAGTGGCGGGTGATCCTCTTTATCATCTCAGTGACCCTAACTGACGCAGGCCCCTCATCGGAGCTGAGGCCGACCCATTTCTACGAAGACTGAGCTAGCACACACTCACTCTCCCTCCAGAAACAGAAGCCACACAAGAGGAGAGGAGTCGCTCACAGGGAGAGAAAATAACCGCCAAGGAGAAAATAGCTGGGCAAGACCTCAAGTCTGCAGGAGTCCCAGAGCTAAACAAACTCCAGAGAAAACGCTTCTCTAAGCAGTAGCTGAGATCGCACACACCCACATTCTCAGACGAAGTCGAAGGGGAGAGCGGTCTTAGACTTAGTCATTAGAAAAACCAGAAGTACGGCATCAACCCTCCTGCACAGAGAAGCCCACCAGCCCGCGCGGTCGAACACAGAACATTGGCTCGAAAGAAACATTTTCAAAGGAGAAGGCAAAACCAGGAGGAGCACCTTCTATCTTCTGAGCCAGCAAAAAGCTGTAGGGGCTGAGCATGGGGCTCGCCTGCCCGAGCTCGTGGACCCCGCGTGCCCACCCGAGGCCCACAGAGCATGACGTCGGGTGAATGTTTAACAAGGTATGTGAGAAAGATGCCGGTTGACTCAGCCACAGGGAACGGGAAAAACAGAGGCTGTGTTTGGTGCACAAGCCACACACAAGGTCAGAGATAAAACCGCCTCTGCAGGAAACATCTGGCTCCGGCCTGATCAGAAACAGACCAGCAGTGCCGCCCTCCTGCCCCAGCTGAGGGGCCCACGTGACGACGGCCACAGCGAGGGACACGGTAAGAACAGGTCGTAACTCGCCCGAGTTCCAGTTTCACACGATACGGTGTCACTTGGCTGACTGCGAACACCGGTGTCGCGACAGACACCGTGCCACCTGGCGAAGCCAGCGCTGCTGGGGTGGCGCTGGGTGGAGGCCCCCCACCCCGAGAGCTCCAGCCGAGCCTTGCTCGTCGAGTTGCTGGGCTTCATCCCCAAAGCTGCGGGTCACCAACCTGCAAAGACCCGGCGTTTCAGGTTCAGCTCGTTGGCCACGCGGACCTCGGTGCAGAGCTTCAGCATCAGCAGCATGGTCAGGATCATGACGACGCTCTGCCAGAGCAGCGGCGCCTCAAAGCGCCTCCCGAACCTGCGGGGGAGGGGCCGCAGCGTCAGGGGGGCGCTGGCCGGGCCTCCACCGCCCCCCAGAGCCGAGTCACGGGCAGGCTGCTCCACGTGCTGCAGGCCCCCCCCGGGAGCCGCTGCGACCCTCCCAGGGCCGAGGGCCGGTGGGAGTGGGTCTCCTGCCCTCGCCCCCCCACCCCCAGTCCGGCCAGCTGACCGTCGCCCTCCTGCAGAGGCCCAGCCGCCGCCAGGTGAGAAGCCCAGGTGCTGGAACACCTGCCTCCCCAGGGCTCGTTCCAGAGTCTGGAGGCCGACGGCAGCCCTGGCCCCTGGCCGTGAGGAGTGGGGTCTGCAGGCCAGCACGGCCCCCAGTGTGAGCAGAGCAGTGGGGGGCCGGGCCACCCAGCCCTCACCAGAGAAGAGGAGACGGCAGGCAGGGCACGGTCCGCACTGCCAGCCTCAGGCCCTGATGCCCGACCAGGCCTGGCTGGCCCGCATGGACGCCTCCACATCCACTCTCTTCTCCGAGCCCCAGCCCGCCCAGCCCTCCCAGCCACAGGCCCCAGGGCCTTCCTGCTGACTTTCCTCCAGTGTGTTGAGCATTTCAGCAGCTCGGCCAAGAGTTCCTGGAGGCCACAGCCACAGCCCAGTGAGTGGCACCGCTGGGCCCATCAGAAGACCCCGGCCCAGGGGCTGTCACAGCACTGCCCTCCGCACACCAGCTGGGGTCTCAAACGTGGCCACCAGCGTCACAGGACTGGCCTGCAGAAGTGTCACCTCTACAGCGAGGCCCGGGCAGAGATCCTGCTGGTACCAGCTGCAGCGCGGCCTGACGGGGCCTCCCCAGCCTGAGTCAGTGGCCGACAGGTCACAGTCGGGAGGTCCTGGATGGCAGTCTGATCTCCAGCTTCTCCTGCAAACCAGGAGACACGGCCCGGCCCACCTCCCCTGGCCTCGCTCTCACACCCGCCCCTACAAGGAGAGGGTCCCCGACAGCTGGCTGATGGGGCCACACACACGCTCCGCCACAGGCTGGCTCTGGGGAACACGCTGCCCCCCGGCCTTCTCGCTGTGCCCCACCACCTCCGGGCTTCATCTCTTCCGTAAAGTGCGGACACAACCCTACAGCTGCTTGAGGACGTTTCTAGCAGTTCTAGGAACTAGTCCCCACTGGTTACCTGACTGACCCCGGGGGGCTGACTAATGAACAGATAGTCCAGAGGAGAAGACAGAGCAGGTTCTGCGCCAGGCTGGGGAGACGAGCGGGCGGGCATCACAAAAAGTCAGTCAGTCTAGGGACCAAGCTCATTTCCAGTTAGTGACAAGGCTGAAGACGGGGGATGTGGGCCTTTATGTAATAAAGGCCACTTCCATTATTTTCAACAGAAACAATGAGTGACTAGAAAAACGGGGGGGCGGGGGATGAAGGTTTGTGCTTCCCCTTATACCACACACCGAAAACCGAATCTAGGTAAATTCAGTATTTACAGTGAAGTAAGGGGGGCAGAGTGAACATTAAACTGCTTTTAGGGTGAGGACAGGCTGAACAAGACAGAAAATTTCAAAAAGCACAACTTTCCACAGAAGATACACAAGGGACAAAACAAATATGACACAAAGCTCAACATTATTAGTGATTTTTAAAAGCCAATTAAAATAGAAAGACACTATTTTTCACTTACCAAGTTACTTAAACTACTGCCTTTAACGCTAATAGTCTGTGCTGGCAGAGGGGCCACGGGGCGCCTCTCCCTCCCCCGCCCTGAGAACGCAGTTGGCAAAGCCTGGTCTGCAGCAGAGGACAGGACAGCCCAGCAGACGAGCGCGCGGCCTGCTGCTTGGAGCAGCCAGTGGAGGCGCCGTCCCCCGGTGCAGTGCACATGTCTCGCTCCCAGGGAGACGCGCCGCAGAGAGCGTGCACTGCCTCACCGAGCCTGAGCGAAAGCTCCCACAAGCAACACCTTCTACGCGTCTTCAAAGTAGCAGAGAAAAGCGCGATTGGAAGAAAAGCTGTGTATCTACTTCCCTGACTGGCTTCTCGAGTAGCAGATTGTCACTAGCCCTCTGGTGCAGTGTCACCACATCTCCGATACAATTTTACTACACCTGCAATACAATGTCACCACGTCTCTCTGTCTCCGGTACAGTGTCACCATATCTCTGATCAGATAGGGATGGGGCTGGAGAACTAGCTCTGTGAATGCCTTAGGCCCTGGGTCAGATGGCCCTGCAGCACCGTCCTTGCACCCTGGCCCCCTCCCTCCCCTTCTCATTTACAGAATCACTCCACCCTCTGGCTTCCGACACCACAAAGGCCAAATCCTGCACGTCAGCATTTTGTATGATCTGCTCAATGCTGGTTCTGCAAAAGGATGGGAAGAATCGCAAGAAATAAAGGCATTAGAGTTCCGTGAGTTACAGAAACGCCGGGTTTCTACAGCTTGGTCAGCCTTCCCCCACCCTACCCCCGACCCCCAGGACTGCAGAGCTTCTCACATGCCTCACACCACACATTTCCCTGGGCGGCTTCCCAGGCAGACTGGAGTTCCGGAGACTGCATTCCCAGCCAGCTTTGGGAAACGTACTCTTCACTTCCTCCAAGTCCATCACTGCTCTCGTCCCACCCGGAGCCCACCACAGCTCCCAGACGGTGCTCTCCCCCTCCCCACCACCCATCACCCATATACACGTGTCTGGCACGTTCCATACAGCACTTCTGCTGAAGCGTTAACCCTGCAGCATCTGCCCAGTGTCTGGCTCATGGGAAACCCTCAAAAACCTATTAAATCAAATGGGCTGCTAGGGGACCCAGGAGTAGGGGCTTTGGAGGCTCCAGAGAAAGGAAGGAAAGGAAGCACAGGCATCACCCTCAGAGCAGTGGGGCCTTGGGACCACGTGGGAGGAGACACGTGTATTTGTTACAAGTCGTAGACGGAGCCCGGCCTGTCTGCTGGGCTTCACCACGTGAACTACAAAGTACTGCCAGGTGTGAAACACAGGGAAAGCACAACCCCAGGTCAGAGGGATCCTGGAGGAGAGACCTCTGCCAGCCCTCCCTTCTTCCCATAGGGTCCCACAGTCTTCTGGAATCCAGGCTGAGGGCAGCCCTGTGTGTTCACACAGCAGCCACTGAACTCACGGAGGACCCAGGCCAGCTCACGTAGCTGATGCTGTGCGAAAGGGGCAATCAGATGTGCAGAAATAGACGTGCCAGTGCACAAAGTTCAGAATTCCACCAAAGACTCTTTCCTTCTCAAAGGCTCAGGCCCTACAATGGAGAGCGAACTCCCAGTCCCAACGCATCAAATGCTTGCTTGTTAAACCCAGAAACACTGACGAGATGGCATTCAAGCAACCGGTTTACTTTCTGATTTCTCCGAAACAGACAGTTAGAGGTGGATTAGATGTCCTGTTTTCTTTTTGCAATTCTGAATGATAAGCATGGCTGGGGGGAAGACCTCTCAAAGGAACTATTTCCCGTAAGAAATGCAACCTCAGCCAATCCTCCGCCACTCCTCCGAGAAAACTTGCCACTGCCTAAAGGAAATGCTGCTTCCCGACCTACCGCCCGGGGCCTGGGCTGGGAGCTCCGGGGGCCACACCCAGGGTGCTCAGGGTTGACAGCAGTGTCACACACGATTACGGTTTGGGACCTGCTTCTGTGCAACCTTACCTAGTGAGGGGCAGCTGAGAGAGGGAAGGGGAGAGTCTTGCTGCAGCGGGCGAGTGCTATCCTCAGCCACAGGGAAAGGAGGAGTCTTCAAATGCAGTTTTTCAACTTGTGCTAAACAAGTTAAAAGACAAGCGCCCTCTGACCCCTCCTTCAGAAGCGGACTGGCCCAGAGACAGGGCTCATGGTGTGACAAATTCTTCCAGGAGAAGGGGTCGACTCACCAGCTCACCTTTTAAAACCTCAGACTGAGCAAAAACACAATGAGAGTGACCAAGGGCTGCCTTAGGCCAGGTGGACAGAAGGTGAAGGACCAGAGAACTTCTGGACTCAGGGGACTCACACCCTGATGACCGCAGAGGGAACATCTGCCAAAACTCATCAAACTGCGCATGTGCAACGGGTGATTTTCTTCCCTGTAAATCACGCCTCAGTAAGGCTGACTTAAACTCAATTAGCAAGAAAGCACGATTACTCCAAAAAGTCAAAAGAAGGAGCCAGCTGCCCGGCCCCAGGCTGTCCTGTCTGTGCTCACAGAGGGGCCTGGGACCGTCTAGAAGGAAGGAAAGTTGCAGGCTTTTTTGGCCTTACAGTGAGGGCGCGAGACCTCTTTTCACTTCCTCTGAAAGTGTACCCTCCCAATTATGTCTGGCTTCAACAACTGTTAAAATTAACTTCAAGTTCCTGACCAGAATGCAAATGATAATAAGAGGAAGCTGGTCTGAGAGGAGCAAAAAAAAATAGTCTCTTAAGTATTATCCAGAAAGTTGACTTACTGTTAAAAAAAACAAACAGAAACAAACCCGCACACACAAGGCGGAAGGCAGGAAGGGACCACCCTTCAAGGCAGACCACCCCCACAGCACTCCTTCCTGTCTGGTTCCCTCCTGAGAGCCTTTACTGGCCAGTGGTTTGTCCTTCCTATGCTGACCACCTTCTGTTACTGGTATTCATTAATTCCCTTCGTTTTCTCTCCACTACCCCCAAACCTCACCCAAATTCCTAAGGGCATGGACCCAGTCCTAGGACACAGCACCACAGAAAAGGCCCTGGGCAAGCATCCAGTACATGTACGAGCCACCGAAAATGAAGACGCAGATCCCAGATTATGTGAGCTTCTCCACTTCAATCCCACCATTTTCCCTGGGAAAAAGTCTCATCCATTTCACCAGCGCCTTCCCAGGAAGTGCAGACACTTCCGCCCCCCCGGCCTCACCCAGAAAAGGAGAAAGCCATCTCCCTGGGAGCACCCCACAGTAAGAAAGCCCTCAACCTACCAGAAGAGGATTCGTAAGATATTGGCCACCAGGAGCACCAGACATACGTAGGTCGAGAAGCCCTCGGCGTTCTGAGTCCTCCGGATGTCCCTGTACTGCGGGATGTACGGCACCACCCCTCCGAAGACCATGGCCCCAGCTGCCCCCCAGGAAACCAGCTGCTGCAGCGGGACCAAAAGCCAACCCAAGCCTTCTGCGTCCATCCCGAGCGCCCGGCGGCCCCGCCGGCAGGCTGACGTCCACCTGGCCCACGCGCGCTCCGCGCTCTCGGGCTCCTGGCGCGCGCGCTGTCACCCTCACATGCCGCCGCTGCCCTGAGCCGTCCTCCGTCGCGGGGCCTGGCGAGAGAGGAAAAGCGGTAAAGCACTCGGGCCGGGCCTCCACGCCCAATGGGGGGCGCACCGCCGGGCTCGCGGCTGGGGCACGACCCCCTCCTCCGGGGCGCCGGCCCGCGGTGGACTTTCAGTTCGGGGTGGGGGCTCAGTTCCGGGGGAGGGGGTCGCACAGCCTGGGGGTCGGAGGGATGGGAGGAGGGGGGAAGAGGGTAGACACTGCCCAGGGGGCCCGGCCCGGGGTGGACGCTCAGCCCAGCGCGGCGCTCGCGTCCACGCACACTGCTGACCCCGCCGGGCTCACCCGCGCTGGCGGCTCCCAGCGGTCAGTCCACCCTCCTTCTGTCTGTCCAAGCGCCGGGCCCCGCCTCGGCGTGACGTCACAATACGTGGCCCCGCCCGCGCCGGGCGGAGGGGCGGGCGCCGCTGGGTCCTAGAGCGCGCCGGTGGGCGGGGAGGTGGGGGCGGGACCCGGGACGAAGCCGGGTGTCGTGGGTCGTGGCCAGGGCGCTCCGTGGGCCCACCCGGCCCTGGTTAGGAAATCGCTGCCTGGCGGGGCCTCTCCTTCTGGGCCAGAGGCCCACGTGGACCCGGCGCCATCTGTCCCGCGGCGAGTTGCCTTGTAGACGCGGCGCGCCGCCAACGAGAGCAGAGGAGCGGGTCCTGTCGCCGCCCCGAGGGTCAGCGCGAGGCCTGGGGACGCCCCCCTCGTGGGGACTCGGGCAGGGTCTGAGCGCCCCGTGATTCCAGGGGTCCTTCCACCGTTCGTGGTCTGCCCGGGTCTGTGGGGCTCCCCATCCTGAGCCGGGGCGTGTCCCTGAGGAGCGGCGTTCGGAAGTTTGCAGAGGGCCAGGGCAGTTTCGGCCAGGCCGGGGGGCCGGGGGCGCGACTCCTCGGGCAAGCGAAAGCCCACCCGCAGCCTGAAGCCTCTGAAGGTCCACTTCGGGGCCCAGGGAGGCAGCAGCCAGGACTGCCGTCCACAAGTGCGTTAGGTACCTTGTCACTGAAGACAGTGCTGGCCGGTGGAGCTCGGATCTGCGAAGGGTACGTGCTTCATCTCGAGCGCACAACTCTAGCACTCACTGAGAGAGAAAACAGGAATTCCTGAGTGTGTCACCTGACCAAGGGGAGCCCTCGGGAGCTCGAGGGAGGTAGGTGCTCAGAACCCAGATGCTGGTGGGCGAGGGAGGGGTGGGGGTCAGGGAGGGCCCTGTGAGAAGCCAGCCAGCCCGCCCAGGACCCTGTGCAGGCGGGCTCAGAGCAGAAAAGACCGCCTGCAGGCCCCCAGGATTCTGTCTACAGAGGAGCTCCCCCAGGGCTCCCACCTCCACCACAGCAAGCCCAAATCACCCCAAAAGGGAAGGCCTGGTGGGTGAGAGAGGGGGGTCCCCCAGGGGCACACAACCGGCCAGCCAGCTTCCTACCTGGTACGCTTCGTGGGAAATCCTAAGAACAGGTACAACCTCACTTAGAGCAACTCCCAAACGAGCCTGGCGATAAGGAGAGCTCTCCGTGAAACACAGGTTGCTCTCATCCTCTCCAGCCTCTGAGGCCAGTGTACTTCTGAGTATCCACCAGAGAAGGCCAAGAACACAGCACCAGAAATGTACAAGGAAATAAAACACAGGCGGAGAAGGAAGTCCTGGAGAGGCTGGAGAAGAAAAGTAGGTGTTCCTCCTTAGCCAGATCCTACCCCGAGCTCTGGAGCTCCAGAATATTCTGTCCTCTTTATGGTGGAGGTTGGAGTAGGGATATAGTCTTCCCTCCCCACGCACTGGAGCATCTGAGGCCACTGCATCTGGCCCTGTTTGTCCTGGAGCACGTGGGCAAAGTGGTGCCAGCCCACAGCCAGCTGCTGCCCTGGACCCATCAGCTGTGCCAGGTGGAGCGTGGACAGCAAGCGCCTCCAGAGTCCTGCGAAGTGCATACAATCTTGCATTCTTGATCCAAGATTTTGTCCCACAGAAGGGGCCTGTAATGCTTTTGAACCCCACCTGTCTGGAGTAGAGGGGCACCCACTGGTCCAGAACCATCGCTCAAGCAGAAGGAGGGAGCTCATGCCGGCTGCTGCACGTTACCTGGCTTCCTGTGTTACAGACAAAAGAAGCCGGCCAAACTGTGCAGTCTGAAACATGAGACCCAGAACTAGCACATCCTAGTTCCCGGAACCTGTGAACATTACCTTCTGTGAAAAGAAAGAAATTGCAGATGTGATTACGTTAAGGACCTTGCGATGCAGAGATTATCCTGCATTACCCAGGTGGGCCCTAAATGCCATCACGTGTATCTTTATGAGAGAGGCAGAAGGAGACTTGAGACACACAGAGGCCATGAGATGACGGAGCAGAGAGGTTTGAAGATGCGGCCTTGAAGGTTGGAGTAATGCAACGCAGGAATGCTGGCAGCCACCAGCAGCTGGCAGAGGCGGGGAGCGAATCCTCCCAGGAGCCTCTGGAAGGAGCAGAGCCCTGCCAACGCCTTGATTTTGACCCAGTTAAACTGATTTCAGATTTTTGGCTTCCAGAACTGTGAGAGAATAAATCTCTGCAGTTTTATGCCACCCAGCTTGTGGCAATTTGTCACAGCAAACCACTGGAAACTAATATAGAATCCATAAAGCGAAGGAAAAACACTTTCTCAGAAAAACGTGGCACCAAGGAATTTATTGCCAGCAGACCAATCCTGTAAGAAATGTTTTGTTTTTGGCTGCATTGGGTCTTCTTTGCTGCAGCTTTCTCTAGTTGCAGTGAGCGGGGCTACTCTTCCTTGTGGTGCGCGGGCTTCTCATTGTGGTGTCTTCTCTTGTTGCAGAGCACGGGCTCTAGGCACACGGGCTTAGTAGTTGTGGCGCACGGGCTTAGCTGCTCCGTGGCATGTGGGATCTTCCCGGACCAGGGCTCGAACCCATGCCCTCTGCATTGGCAGGCGGATTCTTAACCACTGCGCCACCAGCGAAATCCCCAACCCTGGAGGAAATGTTAAAATAAGTTATTTAGTCAGAAGGAAAATTGGATCTCCATAAAGAAATGAAGACCCTCAGAGAAAGAATAAATGAAGGTAAATCTTTTTTTTTCTCTTATTCTTAATCTAAAAGATTATTGTTTATTTAAAGCAATCAAGTAACAGTGTATTGGGTGATTATAGCACGTGGATAAATGAAATGAATGACAAGGGATGTAAGGGAGGAATTGGGGAATATTCTCATATAAGGTACCAGCACTACACATAAAGCAGTATATGTTATTTGAAGGTGAACTTAGATAATTTTAAAATATATATTGTAAACCCTAGGGCAACCACTAGAAAAGTTTTTTTAAACCATAAATAATACACCAAGAGATGAGATAAAAATGGAATTGTATAAAATGCACAGTTAAAACCAGAGAAGGCAGAAAATGAGGAGGAAAAGGAAACAGAATAAATGCAATGAATAGAAAACAATTATAAAGTGCTAAATTTTAATCCAGCTATATCAATAATCACTTTAAATGTGAGTGGCCTAAACACACCAATTAAAAGACAGAGACCGTCAGGCTGGGTGAGGATCAGAAATAAGCCTCCGCAAGCGACACTGTGCCTGGGGTCTGTGGTGTCCTGAGCAGCAGAAATACAGGGAAGAGGACCACGCGGGTCTGTGAGCCGATGGGTGACAGGGCCAGCTGTCTCAGGCAATGATGCTGGCCCTTCGCCCTCCCAAGGGAATTGTTTTTATGCTGCAAAAAAGACGGAGCGTCAGCAAGACCATTAGTACTTTATTCACGTATATGAGTAAGTGCATGGGAAACAAGTCTGAGCAGATAAAGCCTCAATTCTTAATACTTATCTCTCATATGACTATTTTATACCTTTCTGTGTGGTTTAAATTTTTTTAACTAATTAATTTGTTTTATGTTTGGCCGCATTGGGTCTTTGTTGCTTTGCTGTGCGGGCTTTCTCTAGTTGCAGCGAGCAGGGGCTACTCTTCGTTGCAGTGCGCGGGCTTCTCATTGCAGTGGCTTCTCTTGTTGTGGAGCACGGGCTCTAGGCGCGCGGGCTTCAGTAGTTGTGGCACGCGGGCTCAGCAGTTGTGGCTTGCGGGCTCAGTAGTTGTGGCTCACAGGCTCAGTAGTTGTGGCTCATGGGCTCCGTAGTTGTGGCTCAGGGGCTCTAGAGCACAGGCTCAGTAGTTGTGGTGCACGGACTTAGCTGCTCCGCGGCACGTGGGCTCTTCCTGGACCAGGGCTCCAACCCATGTCCCCTGCATTGGCAGAATCCCCGATTCTTAACCACTGAGCCACCAGGGAAATCCCTGGTTTAAATTTTTTACAGTGAGTATATATGATTTTTGGGGGGGAATATTTATTTTTTGGCTGCAACACAGCATGCGGGATCTTAGTTCCCCAACCAGGGATCGAACCCGTGCCCCCTTCAGTGGAAGCTCGGAGTCCTAACCACTGGACCAGCAGGGAATTCCCTATATGACTTTTCTAATTGAAAAAAATACATGGCTTCACTTTACCAGAAGAAAAGGCGAGTTTCTGCATTGCTACCTCTCCCCAGAAGTGAAAGGCCACGTCCCACACTTGGGTCATGTGGCATCCAAACGTGTCCCCCATTTGCCCTTGAGCCAAGCACATGCCACTTCTTGGATACCTGTGGGCTCCATTGCAAGGCTGTAGCTGAGACAGATGGGCTCCAGGTGTGAGCTCTTACTTTCTCCTCAGCTCACAGGTGCTATTTTTGGAACTAGTCGAGAATATGGAAACGGCACCAAGAAAGGTAAGCTCTCACCGAAGTCACTGAGACCACCAAGCTGAGGGCTTGTGCTGAGCTGGCACGATGAGGACACGTGGGCCGAGAGTCACCCGAGGGTCCATGCATCCCATTGTCGGAGGATGTGCTTACCGGTTGTTTCTGAGAACTTCATTCTGCCTCTGAATGTAGACAAAATAGAATCCAGGGGCTGTGGACAAAGCACCCAGCTGAGGTTTGTAGAAGGCTGCAGAGCTGGACCGTTGGGAAGGGCAGCTCCAGGGCATCATGGACCCGGCCTTGGCTTCTGCCTGGCGAATGTCTATTTTCATGTATCCTGAGCTCGTACCTTTACCATGTGAGGCCGGGCTCACTGCTGGCCCCCAGGCCCACCCCTTGCCTCGGGGCGGCCGTGTGGCTGACCTCTGGCCAGTGACATGGGTGGAAGTGCCTGGCCCCACCAGTCTCCACCCCACCCTCCTTGCTCGCCATCTCCTGCCATGTGCGAACAAGGTAGTAGAGAGCTCCACTAGGGCGTGGCCCAGTTCCTGCCTGCCGGCCTCGGACTGTGACACCAACGAGAATGTCGCTGGGCTCAACCACTGGAACAGGGATTGTTCATTACAAAGGAGCATCACTTCCCGTAACACGCACACAAATTTTGAAGTGTCCACAACTTTAGCACTTCCCAAATGGCATCTAACAACAGTCAACCATACTACACAAACCCCCAGACCAATGGCCCCTAACAACCCACATCAGCCCACTTCTGACTTTCCAGACTGACACCTGTGTTCCCAAGTTGTGGAGCCACTGCAAGCCCACCCGAGTTGCCACTCGGCCCAACACAGAGCAGGCGGTAGACATAAATGGCACCTCTCATTAAGGATCAATATTCATTGAAAGCACAGCGGCTCTGCAATTGCTCCATATACAATGGTTCTGCAGGCGAAGAGCACCTGCAGAGCGCACAGAACTGTGCTCCAGCCCCTGCACCCGCCGCATGTCCCATCTCCGCAGGGCTTGGGACAGGCCATCACCCTTCCAGGTCTCCTCTGGCCTCTACTGGGCTCAGCTCAGGCCCTGGACATCCTCGAAGGTCGAGGATATGACCACCCTTCTCAGCCTTGCCTCTGCCTTCCAGAGCCCCATGCTGGAGGGCCCCCCACCTCAGCCTTTGTGCAGGAGTGTCATGTAGCCGATGGACTGCTAGGACCTTACACAAGAACACTGTCACCTCTATAGATTTTAAATGACAAACACACAAAAGTAAGATAAAAGGACAACAAAGGGGAGAAAATATTCTTTTAAAAGCAGGAAAGGAAAGATGTGCATCCTGAGAGGTGTCCTGTCTGGCTCCTGGTTGTGAAGCCCCGAGGTTTCTCTGGTGAGATGGAGACAGAGCTCCTGGGCCGCAGGCCTGGCCAGACGGAGCACCAGCCTAGATGCACATGTCCCCTCCCCCAAAGCAGTGAGGAGCCCCTACACGGAAATGCAGACTCCACCTGCAGCGAAATCAGGAGGGCGGCAGAAACACCAAAGACCACACAGCACGTGGGGCGGCTGCCCGAGCACAGAGGTGGGACACCACCTGAGCAAAGTGAACGGGGCGGGGGTGTCCCGCAGCCAGGAGACCACCGGCTGGGCCCCGAATTACAGAGCAAGCCCCCAGCTTGAGAGGCGGGTGGTAGGAAGGTTGGGAACTAGTTAGAGCCCCGTCGGCCTCCAAGAGACGAGTAGGAAGCAAGGGTGCAGAGGCTGGTGTTGGAGACCTTTGAGAATCACAAGTGGAGCAGCGCCCGGGGGCCCTGGCGGTGCTGCCCACGGGGGTCTGAGCCTGGTTTTCATGAAGTACCTGGGCGCCCGGCACCCTCACTGCTTTGTCAGGAATCGATTGCTTTGCCACTTTTCTTCTGGGAACTTCACTTTCCAGAAAGTGCAAAAGACGCCAGCGACTGAACAGCAGGGTGTGCGAACGTTTTTAAATATCTTCAGAGAAATGATGCAATTCTTAAAATTTGTCGGGTGGTGGTAGCATCATGCACCAAAAGCACGTGAATAAGCAACGTGCCTGTGAAGCTGGACAGACCTAACGTCTGCAGTTTAGCCAGTAGCATGGTGGCAACCATGTCATATCCCCTGGTTAAGTGAGCCGCCCTCGCGGGAGGCCGGAAGTGTGTACAGAACAAGGTGCTCTCTGAAAAGGAGGCTGAGCTGGGGGGTAAAACTGCAGTTTGAAGAAACTAAACAAATGCGAGTGGGAAATCTGCTCATAGGTTGAAGACTAGAGGAAGGCTAGAAGGCTATGGAACTACATAGTGACAAGTTTTATCAAGGAATTATTTTGTAAAACATGCAGAGAAAAAGCCCTTAGTGAAATTAAACTGAGTAAAGATGAGGTCTGATCACATCTAAAAAGAAAAGACCAGAATAAGCGTGTGCAGTTTACTAGACAAAGAACAGTCCAGATGTGAACAACGTGCAGAGCTCAAAGGACTGATGGGGTCACATCAGAAGTCTCAAAAGACCCAGAAAAGGTTTCGCTTATTTTAAAAAGTGACATGGAAGTTCCGTGCAGTTGGTTTATCCAGCAGACTAGGTGGCCAGCGAGCACAGGGAAAGTAAGAGAAGGCAAATGAAGGCGTCTCGTGCTCAAAATTCTTTGTTAATAGTTGGAATAGAAACCATTTCAAATTCAAACCAGGTAATTAGATCTCAGCTACCTGTGAGATGAAAAATAAAAACAAAAAAGTTGGAATGTGACCTTTGTTCACTGTGTTTGGCTAAAAATCCACTGAAAATGAATGCAAGTTCTTGTAGCACAAAAACAAACAAAAAGCAGTGGTTTGCAACAAGCTCTAATAGCAGAAGTTCATGACTCTGCAAAGGGGACTGACTCAGGAAGGGAAAGACGAGGACAGAGCTGGAGGCAGCAGCAGAGGGCGTGAGGGCTGACAGCAGAAATGGAGGAGGCGTCCAGAGGCAGCATCGCCTGTGAATTCGAGGTGGCTTCGCGGAGAGAAAGGCCGCGTCATCGGGGTTCACCACTCACTCATTCAGCGAAAGGAACTCTTGCTGGAAAGAAGATGCAGAATGCAGGCTCGAGGTGCAGATTACTACCAGTCAGCCGAGAACAGCAGTGCTTACGCTGAGGGGTGCCCTCAAGAGCACACAGCACACACGCACGATCCCGACTCCAGAAGCGCACGCTTTTGCCTGTGAACCTTCCTCTTCTTTGTTTTTAATTGAGGCAAAATTCATGCAACAGAAAATTAGCTCTGTTAAATGAACAACTCAGTGGCATACAGTCCATTCACAGTGTGGTG